ACAGTATGCTGTTAAGTAATCAGGTTATGTATACAAACAGTATGCTGTGAAGTAATCAGGTTATGTATACAAACAGTTTACTGTTAAGTTATCAGGTTATGTATACAAACAGTATGCTGTTAAGTAATCAGGTTATGTATACAAACAGTATGCTGTTAAGTAATCAGGTTATGTATACAAACAGTATACTGTTAAGTAATCAGGTTATTTATACAAACAGTATACTGTTAAATAATCAGGTTACTGTTAAGTAATCAGGTTATGTATACAAACAGGTTACTGTTAAGTAATCAGGTTATGTATACAAACAGTATGCTGTTAAGTAATCAGGTTATGTATACAAACAGTATACTGTTAAGTAATCAGGTTATGTATACAAACAGTATACTGTTAAGTTATCAGGTTATGTATTCAAACAGTATGCTGTTAAGTAATCAGGTTATTTATACAACAGTATAATGTTAAGTTATCAGGTTATGTATACAAACAGTATACTGTTAAATAATCAGGTTATGTATACACACAGTATACTAATCAGGTTATGTATACAAACAGTATACTGTGAAGTAATCAGGTGTTATGTATTCAAACAGTATGCTGTTAAGTAATAAGGTTATTTATACAACAGTATAATGTTAAGTTATCAGTTTATGTATACAAACAGTATACTGTTAAGTAATCAGGTTATGTATACACACAGTATACTGTTAAGGAATCAGGTTATGTATACAAACAGTATACTGTTAAATAATCAGGTTATGTATACAAACAGTATACTGTGAAGTAATCAGGTTATGTATACATACAGTATACTGTTAAGTTATCAGGTTATGTATACAAACAGTATACTGTTAATTAAACAGGTTATGTAAACAAACAGTATGCTGTTAAGTAATCGGGTTATGTAAACAAACAGTATGCTGTTAAGTAATCAGGTTATTTATACAACAGTCTAATGTTAAGTTATCAGGTTATGTATACAAACAGTATACTGTTAAATAATCAGGTTATGTATACACACAGTATACTGTTAAGTAATCAGGTTATGTATACAGACAGTATGCTGTTAAGTAATCAGGTTATTTATACAACAGTCTAATGTTAAGTTATCAGGTTATGTATACAAACAGTATACTGTTAAGTAATCATGTTATGTATACACACAGTATACTGTTAAGTAATCAGGTTAGGTATACAAACAGTATACTGTTAAGTAATCATGTTATGTATACACACAGTATACTGTTAAGTAATCAGGTTAGGTATACAAACAGTATGTTGTTAAGTAATCAGGTTATGTATACAAACAGGATACTGTTAAGTAATCAGGTTATGTTAACAAATAGTATGCTGTTAAGTAATCAGGTTATGTATACAAAGTATGCTGTTAAGTAATCAGGTTATGTATACAAACGGTGTGCTGTTAAGTAATCAGGTTATGTATACAAAGTATGCTGTTAAGTAATCAGGTTATGTATAGAAACAGTATACTGTTAATTAATCAGGTTATGTAAACAAACAGTATGCTGTTAAGTAATCGGGTTATGTAAACAAACAGTCTGCTGTTAAGTAATCAGGTTATGTATACAAAGTATGCTGTTAAGTAATCAGGTTATGTATAGAAACAGTATACTGTTAATTAATCAGGTTATGTATACAAACAGTATACTGTTAAATAATCAGGTTATGTATACACACAGTATACTAATCAGGTTATGTATACAAACAGTATACTGTGAAGTAATCAGGTTATGTATACACACAGTATACTGTTAAGTAATCAGGTTAGGTATACAAACAGTATGTTGTTAAGTAATCAGGTTATGTATACAAACAGGATACTGTTAAGTAATCAGGTTATGTTAACAAATAGTATGCTGTTAAGTAATCAGGTTATGTATAGAAACAGTATACTGTTAATTAATCAGGTTATGTAAACAAACAGTATGCTGTTAAGTAATCAGGTTAGGTATACAAACAGTATACTGTTAAGTAATCAGGTTATGTATACAGACAGTATGCTGTTAAGTAATCAGGTTATTTATACAACAGTATAATGTTAAGTTATCAGTTTATGTATACAAACAGTATACTGTTAAGTAATCATGTTATGTATACAAACAGGATACTGTTAAGTAATCAGGTTATGTTAACAAATAGTATGCTGTTAAGTAATCAGGTTATGTATACACACAGTATGCTGTTAAGTAATCAGGTTAGGTATACAAACAGTATGCTGTTAAGTAATCAGGTTATTTATGCAACAGTATAATGTTAAGTTATCAGGTTATGTATACAAACAGTATACTGTTAAATAATCAGGTTATGTATACACACAGTATACTGTTAAATAATCAGGTTATGTATACACACAGTATACTGTTAAATAATCAGGTTATGTATACAAACAGTATGCTGATGAGTAACCAGGTTATGTATACAAACAGTATGCTGTTAAGCAATCAGGTTATTTATACAACAGTATACTGTTAAGTAAGCATGTTATGTATACAAACAGTATACTGTTAAGTAATCAGGTTATGTATACACACAGTATACTGTTAAGGAATCAGGTTATGTATACAAACAGTATACTGTGAAGTAATCAGGTTATGTATACATACAGTATACTGTTAAGTTATCAGGTTATGTATACAAACAGTATACTGTTAATTAAACAGGTTATGTAAACAAACAGTATGCTGTTAAGTAATCGGGTTATGTAAACAAACAGTCTGCTGTTAAGTAATCAGGTTATGTATACAAACAGTATACTGTTAATTAATCAGGTTATGTAAACAAACAGTATGCTGTTAAGTAATCGGGTTATGTAAACAAACAGTATGCTGTTAAGTAATCAGGTTATGTATACAAACAGTATACTGTTAAGTAATCAGGTTATGTTAACAAATAGTATGCTGTTAAGTAATCAGGTTATGTATACAAACAGTATACTGTTAAGTAATCAGGTTATGTATACAAACAGTATGCTGTTAAGTAATCAGGTTATGTAAACAAACAGTATTCTGTTAAGTAATAAGGTTATGTATACAAACAGTATGATGTTAAGTAATCAGGTTATGTAAACAAACAGTATTCTGTTAAGTAACCAGGTTATGTATACAAACAGTATGCTGGTAAGTAATCATGTTATGTATACAAACAGTATACTGTTAAGTTATCAGGTTATGTATACAAACAGTATGCTGTGAAGTAATCAGGTTATGTATACAAACAGTACGCTGTTAAGTAATCAGGTTATGTATACAAAAAGTATGCTGTTAAGTAATCAGGTTATGTATACGAACAGTATACTGTTAAGTAATCAGGTTAGGTATACAAACAGTATGCTGTTAAGTAATCTGGTTATGTATACAAACAGTATGCTGTTGAGTAATCAGGTTATGTATACAAACAGTATCCTGTTAAGTAATCAGGTTATGTATACACACAGTATGCTGTTAAGAAATCAGGTTAGGCATACAAACAGTATACTGTTAAGTAATCATGTTATGTATACAAACAGTATACTGTTAAGTAGTCAGGTTATGTATACAAACAGTATGCTGCTAAGTAATCAGGTTATGTATACAAACAGTAGACTGTTAGGTAATCAGGTTATGTATACAAACAGTATGCTGTGAAGTAATCAGGTTATGTATACAAACAGTAGACTGTTAGGTAATCAGGTTATGTATACAAACAGTATTCTGTTAAGTAATCAGGTTATGTATTCAGACAGTATGCTGTTAAGTAATCAGGTTAGGTATACAAACAGTATACTGTTAAGTAATCAGGTTATGTATATTTTTGTTAAATGTATGTAAATATACAATAATCTGTTGGATTTTACTTCAGAGGTTCCTTTTGTTGACCAAATAGACAATGAAAAGCAACTGAAATCAAAAGCTTAATGCTGGAGGTCAATATAGATCGATGTTGATGCCGATTTTGAGGATAAAGTGAATATGGATTAATTTTGAATAAAGTCAATTAATTTTGCATTCCACGAGACTTGGTCTGTTAATTACTCAACGAAAATACGTTGGATAATATTGGTTTAAGACGATCGGTAAATCAGTTTTGTCACGCTTATCATTCACCTTTTAGCAGATCGTTGATGTTGGCGTCTGTAGGAACAATCATGTACGATTAAGTGGTCTAAAAATTCTTCTTATTTACAATGTAATAAACACACTCGTCGATATGTCTATAACTGAACTGAAGGACTCGTAAGACATGTGAGATTTGTTACATGTCCTTAACAACTCTTAAGCTGTGTGTAAAATCAAAGTCGGGCCGTAGTATTTTGCCATCGGGCACAAAACAGTTATTGTCTACCAGGAATGAATTGACATGTTTGGCTTGATCGTTCTTTTCACAAAATATGCTGAAAATTACTGAACAACCATATATCTATTGTGCCATTTGATTTTCTTGGAAAGAAAGATTTAAGCATAGGAACATTACGTTCCCTCAGTTTGGTATGAATGATGGAAATGAACAAAGTAGAATATAGAAATATATATAGCGCGTGTTTTTTAAACTTAAATTTCAAGCTGAATATTACTCCAATTCAGCAACCTCTCGTATCGCTTAATAATTTACATTTTGGCTTTTATCATGTCCGGCATAGTCGTGAGTAGTTTTCCTCAAGAACCATTAACACAGATTCTACCGATAGTTTGGGCCTTCATGACATGCACCCATAACATTGCATTATAGATAGTATCTGGATCGCCTGTTACTACGTGTCCAGCTGTACAATCATAAGGCTTTTATGGAGATATAGAGCGATGGAGATCAATCGATTTAGAATAACTAAGAAATAATTGGAGAACTTTATATCTGAAGAACAGTGGTCCGATATATTTGCTGCTGAAATTGCTACCTTATCCCTTGTTGACAACTCTGAGTTTCTTATGATGGTGAATCAGCGCAGAGTGGTGACTGTCCCTATACGGACGGGCTGAAAGAGTCAAATTTGTGTCAGGCCATGAATCATTTTCAATAGATTGTGATTTGATATTTTTTTATGATTAATATTACGGGCAATACCTTTATATTTCTATTATCTAAACCATGTACGACCAGAAGATGTATATAAGAGTATCCGTAATCGTTTAAGGTTTTCTATCTACTAATCTACAGAGCCTAATGATATCTGACGAGACTGTTTAGATGCTACTTCCTACACAGCTAATCAATGCTGCTGACAGAGAAAGCCTGTTAAGAGATTGCTTTACATCAAACGACTTTTCAGTAGTAAACTACAGCATTAAAAAAGAAGGTCAGTGACATAAAGTCAATGTAAAGCTTTCACGCAAAGACACGAGCACAAAGTCAGCACAAAGATTTATCATAAGATAATTCTGTTAATTACAAACATTACAAATGAGTCGGCTTTTAATGATGATGAAGGAAAGTCGATGTATTGGAGGGTACACTAATTATAACGTTATTCTAAAGTAGAAATAGGCAAGTTTATAAGAAAGAGTGACCTAATTTGTAATCGTTATATGAGTAACCAAAATCTAAGGAATTCATCTAACTAACATGAAAGGATGTTTTTATCAAATACTTACAATAATTTTATATTTTTAATACTAAATTCGGTTTTTGTCAAATTATTCAAATACTAGTAGTGATGAATCGACCATTTTTTTTATGAAATAAAACGTTTATATGTCAAATAATACATTTATATGTCAAACTATATAAATTGTGTTAAAAAATATGTTTTTCCAAAACAAAGTGCGACATAGCTTAGAAAAAAAGTATTAGACAAAAATACAATCTAGGTAAGCTCTTTAAACTTTTATAATATATCAATTATCAAGCTATGTCATTTTGTATAATTCAAAAAGGTTTATATTAAAATTCCTGTTTGTAATGATTTGTGCTTCATTAACATCTCTAACATCAAAAACAGGTGAAGGAGTCCAGAGTTGATAAGAAGTCCCCTCATGGAAATTTTCGGTATTCTAAATTTAACTCGACATGTAAAGAAAACTTTATGGTTAATATATATATATAGATATCGAGTAAATGTAAAAGTCAACCCTCCTGAGACAATGGCTGATGTTGTTAATATACCACCCTTTAATGATCGTATTATGATATAAAGGCAAATGCATCTACATCTGTAATCTGTATTTACAGAAATGCATATTCTTATTTTATTATACATAATTAAGTATTAAAATCTAACTGTATCATATATTGGAAAGGTTTATAAATCTGTATGTATGATATATCATAGAAGTGGATAATCTACGTATATATTGAATATTGAATTTTCGGCTATCCGGAATAAATTGTATTGTTAAAACATTACCGATGGGCTTAATCTTGCTTAGTGGTAGTTCAAACTTCAAATTGTCCACTGTTAAATCGTTTAAGATATTCCGAGTCCCTCATGGAATGAAAGGATTTTTTTTTGTAGATCTTGAAATTGATGGGTATGCAAAACGAGAACATGCTGATTTGGATTTACATTTAGCTTGAATTTAACTGTTTCAGCTGTATCGGCGATGTGTTGTTATTTTTATCAGCAATGTATCACTTCGATTGTATATACATGTTCCTAGAGACTCTTCTAGATCATCTGCTCATTATTATTGAGGTCTGTGTTTCTTGATCTCTGCAAAACCACACTCAAATATCTGCATGATTATTACTTTGTTATGTCGACAAAGTATCATACAATCTGGTCTTTGTTTGCAATGTTTTCCAATGTTGCGAATGACGAAATACTTCATCGTAGTTTATTACGGTATTGTAATACAGTGTACCAAATAACAGATAATGATAAGGATAAGGACCTGCCTTGTTTGTATTTAATTCAGGAACTTCACAAGAGTGCTCACAAAGACAGTTTTATCGGTGGTTCTACTTGCTGCTTTCCCAAGCCAGTATATAAACTTCATTATATAGCTCATCACATTAGTAATGGTCTCAAACGTTTGTACTTTTGTATATGCTGTTATTGTTCTGACATTACACGATTTCGAATTCACGAGGGAATGTATACGCTTAGCGAGCGGAGTAATGGCACCGATACAAAGAATGTTATGTACTTTGTCTGACGCTTTTTTAAGTAGTTTCGTTTTGGCTGACCATACTGATGTGTCAACGACGTACATATCCATTATCTTTGGTCCGGGAGCTCGATTGTCTAGCTCACCATCAATCACATGGGTGTCACGCGGAGAGGACTCGACTTGCTTGATGTCCTATAGTATACTTATACTACGACTATAAATATCAGTTAATAGTTCTGCCGCTTTAACATTTATAAACTACTTAAGCATTGTTCTTTAGATAATTCCCATCGAAGCTAGAATTAATTAGTCTATACATAAACCCTCAAAACTATTTTTGGGTGTCAAGAAAAAAGATGCGTTTTCTTTGTGTTCAATATAATACAAAACAGACTGACTCACAAAAAAACCACCAAAGTATACGATTCTTCAAAGTCCTGTTTCTAATTGTGAAGAAAGTTAATTCCATTGGATATCTATATTTATATGAACAACAAAACTAAATCTAGTTTTTTTTTCTGTAATCTGTAATCTGCTATCTCGCTAAAGTTGTCCGTTAATACTGTACTTTGTTTCCCTAAATTGAATAATGTCAACCTATCACTTTATTTAAGATGATAAAGTTAATTCTCCCTTTCAACATTGTTATTAAACATTTATAAAATTATTTGTTTCAAACTGCTTATATATAGCTTATGTTTTTATTCCAATACTAGTCCACCATGTAATTCAAATTTTCCACAATTCAGATCAGCAACAGCACGTATCATTTCGAGGATGTACATTGATTGATTAATGAACTCCATTAGTTCAAAAAATGCTTGTGCTGTTTTATAGGCAGAGTAACTTTAGCCTTGCTATTCATTATTCAGTGTATTCCCGACGTCATGCGACTGCAAACACGTATTTTCCATCATCTCAATAGGATATTGTTTGTAATTATTGTTGCTGTCCTCTGTCACCTTTCAGTTAGTGGAGTAGACAGAGAGTACGTCTTGACACTTAGAAGGTATTTTCCCGTAATGAAGATGTGTCGATGTTAAGACACGTGAAGAGATACAGTTCATAAATGAGAGTCAGACTCGCCGTTAATATAACTAAAAAACTTTGAACGAATTTATAATTTATATAACTTCAGCATTGTATAGATGCCTCAAAATCACCCAGAATTAAAAAAAACACACAGGATGGAAAAATCACAGCAATAGCAGAAAAAGATAGATTATCAATATCAATCCATACAAACAATATGTTACCGTCCATAGAAACATGACTGCCCCCATCCATACGTAACCTATTATATAACAGGACATACTGGCAACTGTTACTCAAATCATTTAGTGACGAAAGAAATAGTCGATGTTTACAGTACTGAATAATTATAACGGCTAATGAAAACGATGATTTAGAACAATATGTTTAATATTAAGCATGCCTAACAGTTTACATTTCTAATAGCGCATGTTCCTAAACCTTTGCGATTAAGTTTTTCGGAAGAGTTCTTACAGCTTTCAGGTCCTTCAGATCCTGGCGTTCGAGGCTGGTGGCCTTCTTGTGTGACAGAGACCGGATAGTAACAACTGTATGTTTGTACATCCCGATCTTACAGAAAACCTGCTGGTCACCACCAGCGGAATTATCAGAGAGGCGACCACTGGACACGTTTATCGACGCTATTGTATTCAGGCTGAGCTGGAAAAGAAATCAAAACCAAACGATTCAATAACAGGTACACAAAAGAAAACATAAACAGGGTCCCATCATTTAGCTTGATTATATATACATACATGACAATGGTTGATCCATCAATTTTGTAATGTAGCATCACTTTCTAGTTACATTGATGTACAACGAATGGGGAAAATATTTACTTCTATATAAAAGTTATCAACAATGTTGGATTAAGTTCGGTTGAAAAGGTGAGGTAAACTAGATCATCGTCACACAACTGCTTAAAGACAACGTCAAAACCTTCATTCGATCCGAAAATATAGCAAACGGAACCTAGATAATACCAAAACAAAGAAAAGTGACTCAGGAGACGCAAAAATAAGAGGATTCCATGAGATTCAAACAAAAGAAGAGAAACCAGAAACATTTAAATAACCGCAAAGATATCATAAAAACGCAGACAAAAATATTTGCTTTTTTTATATAAATACCAATTTACTTTTCTATCAAAGATATCATAAACATCACTTTAATCTGTAATCATTGATTTAGTTAAATAGTATTCTCGTTTGGATACAGGACTATCCGGCTATGTTATTGCAGAACCCAAAATATAATAATGGGACGGAGCCGGCAATTTTATATTACATTAAGATGAATTGTAAACAATGATTATCCTAGTTTTAACTTTGTATGACGTGGTTAATGATCCAAACACAGAGAACTATTATTATATTTCATATTAATGAAATCTAATATTATATAATTATATAATCGGCCCTTTCCGTTGTTGAATTTGGAGTTCTGTAATAAGATAGTACGGCCACTCTGAAGAAAATCATTCTGTAATATACTGGTGTCTCGTTAATTAGGATTTACTAAATATGCGTCCTGACAATATTTCCTTTGATTAGTGTAAGAGTTGAGTGCATATGCTGTCTTCCACATTATAACTGTGATTCGTGTAAGGGTTAATGTCTTCTCATACATTCATTATAAATGTGATTCGTGTAAGGGTTAATGGCGTATGACTTCTCATACATTCATTATAACTGATTTCTGTTCAAGTGAAGGACATATGATATCTTACACATTATAACTGTGATTCGTCTAAGGGTTAATGTCTTCTCATACATTTATTATAACTGTGATTTTTGTTCAAGTGAAGGACATATGCTATCTTACACATTATAACTGTGATTCGTCTAAGGGTTAATGTCTTCTCATACATTTATTATAACTGAGATTTTTGTTCAAGTGAAGGAGATATGCTATCTTACACATTATAACTGTGATTCGTGTAAGGGTTAATGTCTTCTCATACATTCATTATAACTGATTTCTGTTCAAGTGAAGGACATATGATATCTTACCCATTATAACTGTGATTCTTGTAAGGGTTTATGGCGTATGTCTTCTGATACATTCATTATAACTGTGATTCGTGGAAGGGTTAATGGCGTATGTCTTCGCATACGTTCATTATAACTTTTATTTCTGTCAAGGGGAGGACTTATGCTATCTTACACATTATAACTGTGATTCGTCTAAGGGTTAATGTCTTCTCATACATTTATTATAACTGTGATTCGTGTAAGGGTTAATGGCGTATGACTTCTCATACATTCATTATAACTGATTTCTGTTCAAGTGAAGGACATATGATATCTTACACATTATAACTGTGATTCGTGTAAGCATTAATGGCGTATGTCTTCTCATACATTTATTATAACTGTGATTCGTGTAAGGGTTAATGTCTTCTCATACATTCATTATAAATGTGATTCGTGTAAGGGTTAATGGCGTATGACTTCTCATACATTCATTATAACTGATTTCTGTTCAAGTGAAGGACATATGATATCTTACCCATTATAACTGTGATTCTTGTAAGGGTTAATGGCATATGTCTTCTCATACATGTATTATAACTGTGATTTGTGTAAGGGTTAATGGCGTATGTCTTCTCATACATTCATTATAACTTTTATTTCTGTCAAGTGGAGGACTTATGCTATCTTACACATTATAACTGTGATTCGTGTAAGCGTTAATGGCGTATGTCTTCTCATACATTCATTATAACTGATTTCTGTACAAGTGAAGGTCATATGCTATCTCACAAATTACGTATATATAACCATATTTCATAGTTGCAACAGCAAATGTGTAAATTGGCTAGATTGATTATTGTATGAACTACACAATGACCATATTTGTGAGATAACAAATACCTTTTGTAATTTTGTTAGTGAATTTAACAAAAAAATCGTTTCGTACATTGCATAGTTTATGGAGCTGCCCTATTATGTGTATGAACATCAAGAATTTGTTATTAAACTACATGACTTTTAAGCTCGATTTCACCTTTTACTGTCATTTGATTTTGCATCTTTAAACATATGTTGTAGGATATTGGACATCGAAAATTAACGTGCAAATGGCGATACATTATCATCAACTACAAAAATAGTGGTCATTTTATTTAGAGTTCTTTATTTTTTGCAGTACAGGATGAAATTATTCATCATCATAAATGCTGAATTCTGTTTTCTTTGTAAAGGCATTTGACGTGATATGTGTCAACAAATCGATATTCGAAATCGAAAAACAAAATGGAAAAATATGAACAAGGAAAAGCTTTACGTGGAAAACCTTCAAAACAAACACAAGAAGAATAAGACCAAATATCACATATACCCTTAATTCGAACACCCATAATAGGTTTGATGTATAAGGTAGCATTCACGTTAAGCAAACCTCAATCACAAAGGTTACAGTACGCAATATTTTACAAGGTTTCTATTTAAACAATCAAAGGTTTACCAGCGGTTATAACGACATTGGGTGAGCCCTTTTGCTTAAAACCATAGATAAAGGACGTCGAAAAGTACACGTTCTGCTAGCTATTGCAATATTTGAACTTTATAGAAGATTGATCACGTTTTAGTTCGAATGAGTTAAGGAAACTGTCAACGCAAAGATTCGTAAAAACAAGGCCTCCTCACTGGGCCATTGCTTACTTAAAAACGAAACAGTGGACAATGAAACATATCAACTCCAAATCAACTCTGTAGACCTACAGGTATCTGCAGACATATACTCCAACACTGAGTTACAGGACACAAATATTGTTTAGCGACATTTGGTTAACGTCTTTGCTGTGTTGTGAAATTCGATTACATTCTAGCTTCATAACTGAATACTGTACTGCAGTAGCACACTATAAGCAGCAATTTGCCCTTCTCTATGCTCAAACCTCGGCAGACGCTTATTGGATTGTCTCATATAATCGGCCAATGACATGTACTGTCAATTGCTCTCGGGACGTTTCATAAGCTACCATTAGAAATAGAAAACCAAGTAATAGATTAACAGTTAGTTTTGGATGTTCATTCTAAAATGATTATTTGTCTTTGCCTCCATTTTATAACTGCAACGGTTAATACAATATAAAAATGGTTTACGACCTTCTAGATAAATACTGTTGAAAAAAAAATTAAGCTGGGAAATTAATCTTGCAGAAATTTCACGATGCTATTTAAGTAGAATAAATAGATAAAATTAAGATATTTGGATTGGTGTTTGAAAAGGGAAAATCAACAAAACGTATGCCATGAAAACAAAGAACCTCTTTGTCGACTTATTTGTGCATTTTAAGTGTTATCAACTGGTGTTTTCTTGTCCTTTTTAATGATTTTAGAAAAAATATAGAAAGTAGTGCTAACTATATGTATATGGATCTGGTCTCTGATAAAAAATGTCTTCTCAATTACTCATTACCTTACTCGGAACAAACAAAAAGCATATCTTATGTTTTTATTTTTCTTCAAATATTGGCGATAATTCATTAAGAAATAATAAAAAAAGGATATATTTCATCCATTTCCCTTGGTGGTAGCTTGTTCATTTAAAGTTCTTAATCAATAGGATATTGCAGGTAGGTGTTACAGCTTTGTCTTCGGTTTTTAATCTGTAGCAAACACCTTATCAGAGAATTCTAAACAAGCACTGTAATATTGCTGAAATGTGTCAACCGCATATCACTTGAGAAAATGTCCATTTATGTGAGGGATCGGATCAGTATGCACATTAACTGAATCATTAATCAAAATATTCCTGATCTCTTGTCTAAGTTAAACGGTAAACCATTCTCAACAGGGTGAATACGGAGAAACCACAGCTCAACTATACCGTAACGGCAGAAACAGCAAATTAAAGGAAACCATCATGAAATCCCACATAAAGAATCAATTCTTTAAGTTGTAGTTGTTCCACAAATGTATACTTAGGCTTACCTGGCTGATGCTTCCAAATGCTCGGGACTTGGTTACTTTGATATCCTCATATTCTACTTTCCAAAGTTGTAGTTCAAGCTGTCTTTCGTATCGTGCCCGTCTGCAAAAATGTGGGAAAATAAGACACATTCGATACTATATTATTTTACAACAATGAAAAAATCACAGCGATAATCTATTTCGAGTGAAATACTACTTAATACTAAATAAATGTATTGATTTTAAAATCATACTGTGAATAGGAGCATATTTTATTCATTTTTTTTGCAATATCAGAAAACTGAACTCGAGAGATAATGGGGTTCCCAACTTGATATATCAAAAATTAAGCGAATTATATCACTATTTAGAATGTTGATAGTTCCCCCACATCCATTTTAATTGATGTATAATTTATTGTATACTACAAATACTTGAAATTTCATCTTTTGACTTTTACCTGTACATGAATAGTCCCACTCCTAATCCAACTACTGCTACCAGAACCACAACCACACCAGCGATGATGTAGGTTAAGGAACCTTGTGGGAAAAAGATGTTTTAAGTATCAGTTAACAAAACAAAACTTTGGTGAAATAATCCCCTATGCTCTATGTCTAGTGTTTTAAATTAATAACATAATCTGTAGTTGTTATGGCATTCATACCTTTATGACAACAACACTGTTATATGACATAAGTTCATAACCAAATATTCTACATAAGTGTATTCGGACAATTACACGATAGCCATGTGATAAAAAACCCATATATATATATCATATGGTTCATGAATGTAACATGAACGGTTTACCTCCAGTAATACCCAAAGCTATATAAAGAGCACATCTTAGAAAAGGAAAGACACTTCAATGACCATACATTGTTATTCTGAACGGAGATTTATTGTTATGAAGATATGATACAAAAACTGTTAAAATCAGATCCTCTACCTCTCGTTACCGTTGGACACAATTCTCCAAAGAACCCACACTTTGGACTGTCAGTCGGAGGCTGGCCGTCCTCTGTTCTCCATTGTATCGTCTTCACTACACGGATCTTCTATGACGGAACAATATCTCATACATATCAATAATAAAACAAACAATAATGGTTATTTGTAGGGTACTGTAAATCAACATTTGCCAACGCACAATTTTAATTGGACCTCCTTATAAAATGAACGTCTTTGTTTTATCTGAGTTATTCACCTTGAAGATAATGAGACATATGGTACCTAGGTGACACTGCAATTGAACCACAATATTTGCCGTTTTGACTTTTGTGGTAAGTATGATTAAGTTACATGCAATAATATATGATAAACAAAGCTACAAAGTGACAGACAAAGTTCGGGTATTTGTTGGGTACAAGCCACACCGACTGGTTATTATACATATCTATAATGAGTCATCTAATTATACTTAACGGTTCATAAGTTATCGCAAAAAACATCGAAGCGATTTGCCTTTTAACCTCGCGATGTGACCGTAACCTTAGGGGAATAGGGGTATATACATGTGTCTATATGGGATACGATATCAACCACCTTAGTATACTACCGACTTGCTTTGACCTTGACCTAGCCATAAGGACAGCCTATACAACAATATCATTGTTATTACGTAATCGTAATTAAAGGTCTACGCAAAAACCCCACTACGACAGGAAACAAGAAGTCTTCAGAACAAATAGAAAGACATAATTTATCCCCAAAGAAATCGAAGGTAAAACTGCACAGGTGAGCCAAAAGAGAATGGTTTTCAAGCACCAATTCGTGCGCTGATAATAAACTCCAATCTCTCGTCGGGCGTGTGTTGGTTACCGAGAATATCTCAAACTTTTTCCTTATATATATTAACTTATAACAAGTTATTTTAACTTATATTAATCACTCTTGTTAGCCCGGATATTAGCGCGCGAGGGGTCTTTGTGCGGGAGGAAACCGGAGTTCACAGGAAAACACCCACGTGATCGGGCAGGTGGCCCCATACCTATTCACGTCCGATCGGATAATAGAACCCCGGCCGCCTTGGCCTTTCCTTATGACGACCGTGAAAACATTGAAAGCAGTCACAAAGTTGGTAGTGGGGTCATCATTGTTGTTTCAAATATACACTTGAAACTGAAATAGGGAATTATGTTGTATCTCTAAAACTTATGTGGCAAGTATCGATAGAAACATAAAAGAAAGGGTGAGGATGTATGTAAACCCTAAATGCTACCTGTGTCTCCGAGCTGGTCATCTGGGCTTCCAGGACCACTTCAAACCGAGATCCGGAGTCGGTCATATCCCAGATCCAGTAATCTGGTTCTCTGTCTCCATTAGAATCTACCTGGACGTTGCCGGTGATACCTGTATGTCATAAATCACAGATTTATATACGTCAACGTTCACTGGTGTAACGCAGATGTGGGTTTATGGAACCTGACAGTAACATGCTAATTGATAATTGTCTTGGAACAATTTGCTACATGCTCCTAGACACATATAGAGATAATAAAAATAAGCATGGATAAAAATGATGGTCATACCAATAGAATTGCATGACTGGGTAGTGACATCCTTTGAAAGGAATCATAATGACTGCCAACCGGTTCAAATATGTATAAAACGTTGTATGGACAAGGAAACTAATTAGCGATAATCTAAATTTGAAAATGCTACCACGTTTGCCAGGTAACGACACTTTCCTCATTGGTAAATAACCATGGATTATTCAACGATATACCATACGCGTGAGTGTATTATTTTCCAACCGACCAACGTTCTTTCAAAACTCTCCCTGCTGTGAAACAAGCGAGTCGCAGGACTGGTTCATTTGTCGAATTAGGATATCCGCATTTATATCTGTATTTGTTTGAATATTTGCTAGCGGATACAGAAACTTCTATTTTAACCTCTAGATATAATTAAAACCTCAAGCTCACTGTTCGAATGTTCATCTGAAGTTCCCTCGAAGGTAATTTGAAATCATATTTTTAAATGTGTCAGGTGCTGATTTCATCTGTTGACGAGTCATGTCGATAGTTCGGTGGATTAGATTGATCTAATTGACATCTGATTTAAAGGTAACCGCCAGTGTTCATTGTTTATCGTCTGTCGACCAAACGAAGACAGAAAATAATAAAATCCATCTCAAATATATCAAGGTTAAATTCACTAAATTGACAACTATCAACAGTCAGGAATGATTGAATCGCACAGCTTGTTGTGGATTAAAAACGCATGGGCATCACGTGACAACGGTGGAATATATAACTTAGGATTCGAAAATGTTGAACAAATAATCAACTCAGGCCGCAACAGTTTCTCACCCTCGTTATATATTCCAACATAATACACATAAACAGTGTAACTCTGTAACTCTACGAATAGGAAACTTTTCAGTAAAAAGGAAATGGAAGAACATTTAACTATTTGTAACAATGTAATAAGACGCAAGAGGACTATGGTTTACTGTTTAACTTAGTTCTGTGAACACTTCAACTACACGGTACCTCTGAACGTCTTTCCCTTTGCTTTGTTAAAGACAAGTGTTCCGTTCCTATGGTCGCTGCCCTCTGTTACTGTCTCGTTCAGTATCAGCATATACAAGTACACCACGTCATGTAGAAACGGGGAGTATTCTGACCCCTGAATACAAAAGTTTGATATAATATGCTGTTTATATATATTCAGTTTTCAGGCGTGTAACGTCATCTATTAAAAGAGTGCATTGGTGATGATATCTAATTCAGAAACCTGTTAAAACACCATTCTTTATAGTAAAATAATAAAATATACAAAATAGTAAAATAATTGCATATATAATATATTCATATATATACATACATGTATATGCATATGAACAAAACCCTTTGTCAAACCGTTTCAGCTTGTGATATTTTATCTGTTATAATTCTGACGCTTTGGAAATTGGTTTTGTATTTCAAATTATATATTATTCAGCTGGCATGTATCAGTGATATGATTTTTTTAGAGCTAACATATAACTGAGTCGACTACTTACTTTTTTGTCAGACGCGAGCGTCGCATTGTAGTTCCAGGGAGGTTCGGACATTTTAATAGAGACGTTGTTACGAAACTGTTCCACCTCCTCACTGCCCATATCGGATACAGTTAGCTGTAACACAATGTCATGTTCAGAACAAACACAGAAGAATTAAAATATCAGGTTAATGTCATCAGGACAACCATGATAACAAGACAGGAGTCATGGTGACAAGGGAGACAGATTACACTACAAGATGGAATAAAGGTAGTAAAAGAGTAAACATAATAACAGCTTTTGTGTACAACAGATGGTTTATTCTTTAGCTAATGGAGACCAACAACAAACTTTTTAAGATACAACCGAAACTTAAAACATCTATTCCCAGTCGGAAAGATCGTAGAGAGGAAGTTGTCCTCGCTCGGCTCCGCACTGGGCACACATATCCTACTCATTCGTACCTTTTAAAACGAGAAGATATACCTTCATGCCACGCATGTGACACTCCATTTACAGTGGAGCATTTTTTAATAGAATGTTCCGATTTTAAACACATTCGTGATAACTACTTCCGAGTCCCGGATATGAAAACACTTTTCAGTTCCGTGGATTCGAAGGCATTATTTAACTATTTGAAAGACATCGGTCTATTTTATAGACTCTGATGTCTTTTAACCCACCTTATCCTTTTTGACGTTATATATATATCGCATATTCCATATCATCTATTCGTTATCTCTTTTATTATTTTAACCCCCTTTTATTATTTTTAATTATCTACACATACAATGCGAATACTTTTAAAATGAACCATTTTATCTGATTTTATCTTCGCTATTCACATGTTTGTTAAAAAAGTAAAGTGAATAAATAAATCACCATGGCCCTAAATGACCACAGCCGTCGATGGGCCGTTAAATATAAACAAACAAACAAACAAACTTTAGCTAATGTTCCATGTTAACCGTTCTACACGAAATTCCAGCTTCAAGGTTAAGGCCATCATCGGTGTCTGCTGGTTAGCTTGTAATGTCAACCTGTCAGTACATGTACATAAAAACAAACTTTTAGAAATGAGAAATACTAAAACTTAAACGCTTACTTAAATGTTGTTTGTCGTTGCAGAAAACCAAACAATGTATCATGTTAATGGACTGTATGGTAATTTCGTCCATCAACTACTCTTCATCTGGAAACAACACTAATGACCATGACGAAGTAAAGCCCTGATGAACGTGACATCAATAATACCAGACTGTTCTGCACATCACGTAGTAGTTAACATTGCTTGCTTAAACAATAATTTGATAGTGTACAGTGAAAAGGGTTGACAAACAGGGTTCGATGTAAGTATGATATGATTTAGTCATGTTGAAGATGACACTGATTCGCCACATTCAAATTAAAAAAAAAATGTAATCGCGAAGTACACGCTCACAGACTGCTTGACAGCTTCTAACTAATTAGCGGTAATCAATGTAATTATAACAGTTGTCCAGGTGATGGTCGTATAGGGTATTGTTAAGGCCAGCGATAAGCAGATTGTCAACCTGTCGAACGTCTCACTGTAATTCGTGGTCCATTGTCCGTCTAATATTCGTCTAGGCTATATCTCCGATCTCTCGAAATATCGCCAAGTTCTCCTCTAACAGTTCTATAAATAATCAACGACACGTTTATTCCACACAAACTATCTAATATCATATATAAAGAATTATGATATTACAAGGTGAGTACTCTATCCTGGTACAGGTATCATGGGGTTGCCTCGTCTGCCTTAATATAGCCACATAATTAACATTCTCATCCAACCTTAATCATAATTATAAATCAAATCCCAGAAATCCTAAATGTAAGTACCTTCAAGAATTGTTTTGAGAATACAAAAATAATATTCTCTAAACAATTGTAGTATGATTAAATGACCAATCTTAAATGAGAGTTTGAATGAAAAAAACTCTTTTTAAAAACAAAAATCCTAAATCATTTATAGTACACATACAAAATCAATAAAACAGGAGAATATCCAAGTGTTAACAAAACCGTAGTTCGAACTCAATATCGATAAGTCTAGGGTAGACTATTGATATAGAGATAAATCTAGGGTAGACAATTTATATAGAGACAAATTTTAGGGTAGACTATTTATATAGAGATAAATCTAGGGTAAACTATTTATATAGAGATAAATATAAGGTAAACTATTTATATAGAGATAAATCTAGGGTAAACTATTTATACTGTATAGAGATAAATCTTGGGTAGGCAATTTATATAGAGATAAATCTAGGGTAAATTATTTATACTGTATAGAGATAAATCTTGGGTAGACTATTTATATAGAGATAAATATAAGGTAAACTATTTATATAGAGATAAATCTAGGGTAAATTATTTATACTGTATAGAGATAAATCTTGGGTAGACAATTTATATAGAGATAAATCTAGGGTAAACTATTTATATAGAGATAAATCTAGGGTAAACTATTTATATAGAGATAAATCTAGGGTAAACTATTTATATAGAGATAAATCTTGGGTAGACTATTTATATAGAGATACATCTAGGGTAGACTATTTATATTGAGATAAATCTAGGGTAGACTATTTATATAGAGATACATCTAGGGTAGACTATTTATATAGAGATAAATCTAGGGTAGACTATTTATATAGAGATAAATCTAGGGTAGACTATTTATATAGAGATAAATCTAGGGTAGACTATTTATATAGAGATAAATCTAGGGTAGACTATTTATATAGAGATAAATCTAGGGTAGACTATTTATATAGAGATAAATCTAGGGTAGACTATTTATATAGAGATAAATCTAGGGTAGACTATTTATATAGAGATAAATCTAGGGTAGACTATTTATATAGAGATAAATCTAGGGTAGACTATTTATATTGAGATAAATCTAGGGTAGACTATTTATATAGAGATAAATTTAGGGTAGACTATTTATATAGAGATAAATCTAGGGTAGACTATTTATATAGAGATAAATCTTGGGTAGACTATATATATATAGAGATACATCTAGGGTAGACTATTTATATAGAGATACATCTAGGGTAGACTATTTATATAGAGATAAATCTAGGGTAGACTATTTATAAAGAGATACATCTTGGGTAGACTATTGATATAGAGATACATCTAGGATAGACTATTTATATAGAGATAAATCTAAGGTAGACTATTTATATAGAGATAAATCTAGGGTAGACTATTTATAAAGAGATACATCTTGGGTAGACTATTGATATAGAGATACATCTAGGGTAGACTATTTATATAGAGATAAATCAAGGGTAAACTATTGATATAGATATACATCTAGGGTAGACTATTTATATAGAGATAAATCTTGGGTAGACTATTTATATAGAGATAAATCTTGGGTAGACTATTTATATAGAGATAAATCTAAGGTAGACTATTTATATAGAGATAAATCTAAGGTAGACTATATTTATATAGAGATAAATCTAGGGTAGACTATTTATATAGAGATAAATCTAGGGTAGAATATTTATATAGAGATCCTTGAACAGTGCAAGGAGAACAAACACACAGGGAAATATTTTATCATATTATACTCAGCTCTAATTTTCACACCTACACAACAGGCGATAATTAGGGACTCAGGAACTAGAGGTAACGAGTGCTTGTTATCAATAACATAAAACATGGAGTTTCCAATTTCTATGTGGGCAACAAAGTTGCAGGGGTAAACAGAGCTCCTACTTTCTACCTGAACACTCGAATAGAAGGGTTTAAGGAGGTAATCGTCAGTTATCGTTAAGGGAATGGATTATTATATGTTTCTCAAACTAAAATCACAGATATAGCATTCTAAAATATAAATGTTCACTACAGATATCGCACGGAATGGTTAAACACATTGGGAATTATATAATTGCATTTGAAACTGAATGGTAATGCAAACGTAACTGTTGAAACTCCTTTGCAGCGAGTGAATCAAATACTTCTCGAATATTTTTATATTATGTAAAGTTGTGTCGTAAATGTTTTCACAATTGTGAAGTCAGTTACGTGAGTTAAGACAATTCCGTTAGTTAAAAGTATCTCCTTTCTTAGGACTATCTCAGCTGTTAAGGTTATCTCCTCAGTGTAAGGTATATTCGTATTTCACTTGTTTAGATTGAATCATAACTTAAGATATTTTGATAGATCATTAGATAATATTAACTTTATAGTTAAGAATTTTTTTTAGTTAAAATAATGTCATTTGTTAAGATTAGTTCAATCATTGGGGCTATTCATTTGTATTGTATCATTATTTCACAAAGAAATAATATGTCCGTATGCTTGTTTTTATATATTTTATTTCTTTTTGCTAGATATTAGCAAAAAGAAATAAAATACAGGCCACACTTTCTAATTTGACGTCATATGTGATTTTTTAAATTCATCAATTTGATTGTAAGCAGAACACCTTCATTCAATCTCTTACAAGTGTTTTATCAGACACCTATAAATGTTTGCACAATTGATAAAAATAGTATTTTGTTTTAAATAGTTGGAAGTTAAATTCCTTTTTATTTTGATCACAAAAAGCAGTTCAGGTTATCTCTATTTAATGCCCCTTATCTTAAAATTTAAAAACAATCCTCATCTAGAGATCATAAACAAACGGGCTTCAGCTGAAATTTGAATAATAAAATATCAATATTGTATAATTTCCGTATCTGTTAAATATATCATTATAATCATAATCATTATAAATTTGTACAACAAATATCAACTTGCTAAATTAAATAATGGAAACGCAATGGTAATTTCACAGACTTAACAAATGTCAAAAATGTGAAATTTTGACGTTTCGTAAAGCGTAGAAATTCTCATTTTCAAAATGAAATGGGAATTGGTTATTTAGAAAAATAAACTGGTAAAAAAAAATTGCAAACAATAAAAAACTAGTTTTTAACAATTTTTGCAGATACATGTTTGCTTTTGAATTTGATAATAATCTTATCAAAACCTATAACACTAGCTCAAAACGTGATTTGATCGTGATTTAACAGACCATATCCTACGGGGAAATTACTGCCATAACATCGTTGAAAGATTGGTTAATTAGA